CACAACTACACCGGCAACAACAATGTTAAAAAGCACCACCACAACTATACCGGCAACAACAGCTACTATACTCAACAGTGGTGGAAATGAAAGACCTACAAGGAATAACGCAAACAACGGGCGCGCACGTCGTGAAATTAGAGGCCCTGTGACACAAACCAGGTATCGTTCAATGATTTCTTATGAAATGAAAGAAAGGGTGAAGGGTCCTAACATTTTGACAGTATAGACAGCAATGGGTATCTCAAAATATGTTTGATGTTATTAATGATTTAGTACAAAAAATATTATTTGTCTTCATTGTGAATAAGAGGAGTATGTTGTAATTGTGCTGTTGTAATATAGACCTCCAAAATAACTTAAACTTAAAATTGAATTATTTGTAAGTAGCAGGTTCCCCAGAGTCCATACTGTAGGAACAACTACCCTTTATGACTGTCTTTTGCTGAACAGCGGCCGCTGAGTCCACAGGTGGCTCTCATAGATGAGGGCACATTGAACTTTCCTTGAGCCACACAATGCTTGTTTTACCTCTGCTATAAAACCATTAAAATGTTTATCTGTGATTTGCTAAAATATAGAGTAACAGTAGCACAAGAGGAAATTAGTCATAAAGTCAGATAGCTGACAGTTATGTTAATGTTAGTTATATAGCCATATCTGACTTAGATCAACTGAAATTAACATCTTGAACATCGAGGTGTATTAAATTAAGCAAGGGTATGGTTTTTGGTTATGAATTAAACTTTTTATTTGTAAGAAGAAGACTGTGATTCTTCTTTCAAAAGTAATATAGACTTTTTTAATAATTTAATAACTTTAATAATCTTGTCTCAATTTGTTTTTCGGTGCAATCAGTAGAGACAACACAACCGGCCTCTTTCAAGTAAGTTAATATTTATGTATCTGTGGGTTACAGTCTGTGAATAAAAGGATCACATGAATCAAGATTAATTTATTTTTTAAACAGGGAATTGACGTTTCATGCGCCATGAAGACTGCAATAATGTAAGTGAAATAACAAACACATTTTAAATTACTAAAGCAAGTGTTAAGAATCTCTTTGTTGACACCAACCTCATACTTCAGACACACCAACTGTTCTGTGATGCTGCAGCTGAAGCAGAGGATCCCTTCATGTTGTATCCTTCGTACGCTCTGTGCGGCCAGTAAAACATCTTCTGACATCCATGTGGTGGGGAAATCAGCAGCAGGTATGAGAGAGTGTTGCTTGCTCTACCTAAAATAATACAGAAAAATACATAATTACCGACTAATAAGTTCCCATAATGCAATCAACCCTCTGTGTCATTGAACAGGTCCACTACTAAATGAGTGCAATAGCAGCAATACACAAGAGCTAAACAGTTGCACGTATACTGGTCAAACTGGCGCATCATGGTAAGATGTTTGGGATTTACAGTGTTTGTGTTTCCCCTTTGTAACCCCCAAAATATGTATTACATTAACGTTCTTCATATTTTGAAAAGCAATGTTTTGTAATGCAGTTAATAATGCATGTTTTGCCTTCACATTTTATGAGATAGTTGGGTGCTATACACAATTTAAAGAATGTGGCTATCTTTCAACAGTGAAGAGTCCGGGACTGCATATGTGGTTCCTCAGCGCAACTCAACTCACTGTGGTGCAGGTGAGCTCTTAACATTTCCCTTAAACATCTTCAAACCACAGTAAAGGACATATCCAACCCCTCGTCAATGATCTACGTACATTAACCCACAATGTCAAAGTAGACATTGGGACATTTAGAACACGTCACATAAAGTCCAAAGCATTGTCACTTATAGCAGATGTGAGGCTACAAAAATATTACAAAGTTTAAAAAAAATAGTTCAACATTTTAGGAAATATACTTTGTTGCTTTACTGCTGAGAGTTTGATGAGAAGATCAATACCACTCTGATATATATATATATGTATGGTAAATATTAGCCTATCTTAGCATGAAGACTAGAAACAGGGGAAAACAACTAGCCCACTCTGTCTGAAGGTAACAAATCGGCCTGCCAGTACTGCTAAAGTTGACTTATTAACACATTCTATCTTGTTTATTTTTTTAAGCTCAGTTCTTGGCCAGGTGAAGTGACTTCATGAACTTTTGCTGTCACCACGAGCTAGCCAGGCAACCAGCGGAGACTCTAAGAAGTCACTGTGCCCGGCCAAGTAATAGTTCTGCACATATCCCTCCATAAAACCGCAACTTGTTCTTTTTGTGGATAATACAAATGATGAGTTAATGGCACAGTGGCCAGAAAGACGTGATAAAGCAAGACGGATTGAATACTGCATGAAGAACTTGAAATTGCTGTGGTTCTGTTAACACCAAGCGGCAGCCTCCAGTGCAGAGAAAAAAAGCCGAAGCGGAAGCAGCTCCGTGGGTGGAGTGGTCATCCTTTAACCAGAAGGTTCACCGTTTGATCGCCAGCTCCTATTGTCTGTATGTTGAAGTATCTTTGAGCAAGACATTGGACCCCAAGTTGCTCTCCCTCGTTACAGCAGCCCACAGCACCTAAATGCTTAGGATGGGCTTAATGCAGAGGTCAAATGTCATTTATGTATATGACCACTGAAAGAAAACTGCTAAAAACTGCAGTTCCTCAAAAAGCCACTTGAGGCTGGCTCCAAAAACTCACACATTTAAATTATAGAAAGGCTTAAAGTTAGGCATAATTATGGGTGTGGCCGCTTCGAGTGACAGGTGGGTGACGTACCAGGTCGCTAGCTGTGTCCTCTGCTGTGTCCCCCTGGGCCCACCTCAGCTCCACCGACAATCCAACTCTTTGTCCATTTTTAGAGTTAGGCTGTGTAGTCACTGCCAAGATGGCAACGGCAGCCACCCACTGTGAGCTCTTCAGAAACCTATGGATGACGCCACAGAGACAACATCCATATTTTATTTAGTCTATGGTTAACACTGACATCTGGATACAGTAAACCAACATGCTTTCACTTTGTTTCAGATAAAGAGAACAACACCTGCAGCTGCTCTGCTTACTGCAGTGGAACTGGTGAGTGTTTCCCCCCCTTACAAACCACCAGATTTTAAACTACATAGATACAAGTTAATATTGTGTCTTTGCTTTCAGATGCATACTACACTTTTCAACTTTCAACACAAGATTCCAAGATTAACATGTCAAACGTCAGGTCTATGGTAAGTTATGCATACATGAGCGTATGTTTTAGTATGTGTCTTTAATTGTCCATTTTGCATCAATTAGTTATTGTAACATCAAACTCTGATCTCTTGAATCTTTACAGATTTCTGAGCTAAAACAGCAAAAAAACTGTGCTTCAAGTTCAGAGTGAGTTTTGCCATTTAATTTCCATTTAGTATGTGCAAATCACAGTTTACATGAAAAAATAATCACAATCTTTGTTATGTTCCTTTGCAGTGTTTCATGTGGGTTGTCCAACATTGCATCTGAATACAAGGTAATCAGCTGTAATCATATTGCCTAAACTTTCACGTTTTCTACTATGACTATTTTGACTATTTACTAGAGCGAAATGAATCTAAATGTGATCAAACCATTTTGCCATATTATATGTAAACAAGGGATTCATTCAAATGCATTTCTGAACTGCTTTGAATGCAATCTATCTTCTATTGTAACTTATAATGTAATCATTTAACAGTTTTATCATGACCAAGCCAGCTATGAGAAATCCAATTGAAAAATGTAGCATAATATTTTGATTCTGAGTTATGCATTTCATTGAGGAAATAAGTAACTTCTCACAAAAATGCATGAAGTGCAATTCCGTCACATTTCTTTTTTTTTTGTGTCACCGTTTGAGCAGTTTCTTCATGAAATGAAAACATTTGGCACTTAAGTGACGCTGTGAATATTTCCAGCTCTTTTTGCATTTGCAAGCATTTTTTTAGACATCTTCTTACATTTGGTATACTAAGCATATATCATTTTTATTTTAATATGTTACTTTTACATAATTACTTGAGATAGTTTGATTTAATAAGAATTTCTTCTTAGGGTTTGAATCTGAAATGTGGAAGCAGAGCAACACAGTGAGTCTAATAGTATTAGTGCAGTGAAATGTTCCCTCAAAGCTACTGATATATTTTAACAGTGACTGAATTCTGTCTACTTCTGATTTTTTTTATTCTTGTCTTCAAAGCTGCAAGGTGATTTTAGGCTTTTTCCATGAGGTTCCTATCTGTAAAGTGTCTGCAGCCGTGATGAGTCTGTTTCAGTCTGAGAAAACAATCATTTTCAATGGTCAAGTGACTCGAGCAGGTGTGTATATTAAGAACAGGGAAACAAGTCAATTCAACATAATTTCCTACAGTCAAGAAAATAACTGTAGGTCTGTCCTGTAAAACTTCTCATTTGTGTTTTGTCTTGTATGTCACACAGCAATTTGTGGAAATTCAATCGTCAGCGACCATCCACTGACATCCAAATTCATGTGGACTAAAGTTAACCTAACGTCTGCTTCCTTTTGTGAGACAAGAGAAGACTCTGACACCCTCACTTGGTTTGTATGATCTTCTTTCCACCATATCTTCTGCACTAACTTAACAAAATCTTTCAGCGCTGTTTGTATTGTAGTTGATAATCATTAAACACCTGATACAAAATACTTTCACCCCAAATCTTAATTTGTCCTTTTTCTTCACAGTCAAAATGGAATAAATGTGCTTGTGCAGCTGCAAGAGCAGTGTGTTGCGGGGCCGTTTCCCACACCCGGCCCGAATGTGACAATCGCACAAACAAACACCACCAGCTCTTCTGTAAATGTGACTTCCTCCCCACTGAACACAACAGCTCAAGCCCTGAATGCCACCACCACTGCTGCTGCAGGTTTGTTATTACCTCAGCACTGTGTGCAATTCTGTTGCAATATTTACATCATTATAGCATCCCTTTTAAATTTTGTTGACCACAGCTGAAAGGCAAGCCAACGCACTGCTTGAGCTGACCCGAGACGTGTCCAAGCTGAACTCCAGCCAGGTGGCTCAGCTGGTGTCTCAGCTGGAGAATCTTCTGTCGGGCCCGACCGTGGCGCTGGCGCTGGGGAACACCTCCGTCCACATTGTCAGCAATCTGCTGGGTGCCTCTCCTGAGGTGCTGTCTGACTCCTCCAACAGGTTACAGATCCATTTATTTGACATTATCTATTGTGTGAAAACTCAGGGGTGTCAAACATTTTTTATTCTTATGTTTCGTATTTTTAACAATACCGATTTTGATTTTTTTCATCAGCATTATAGGGATTGTTGATACAGTAGGGTTGAAGCTGGTTCTTGATGGAAAGGCTGAGACCCTCTTGTCCCCAGCTGTGGCTCTGTCTGTGAAACCAGTAGATGGCAGCAACTTTCAGGAAACATTTTTCTCCATCTCGGACCCAAATAATGTACAGGTATGATATGAATAGCACAGTTTATTATATATACAGTATAAATATATATATATATATATAAACACTAGACTGAACTGTTAAGAAAGTAAATGAAGCAGCTTGTCCTCAATGCGGTAAATGCTGCTTACACGTCAATACATCAGTATTTACAATCTAATAACGTACCACACATTAATATACCAGTCACAGGGGACATTTTACTGCTGCATTGTTTGTAAGTGAAAAGCAAAGCTAGAGGCATTAAAGAGCGTTGCCACTCAATCAGGTGAGTCAACCTGCGACATTTAATCACAAGAACATTACTTTTTTCATTTCTTTCACTGTAATATAATTTTTTAAGGGTACATCTCTGCTTTACATTTCTTTTGGTGGCATCCGTTGAGCTATCACAGATCTCTGACAGATTGAGTTGCCCCAAATAAAAAGGTGTTAATAAAAAAAGTCTATGATGTGAAATAGTTAAGGCTATGCCTCTCTGTTCACTCTGTCCCGTGTGTGTTGCAGGTCCGTGGGGATCCCAGGCTGAGGAGGAGCCTGAGAGCAGACTCCTCCATCCCTCAGGGCTCCATCAGGCTGCCCCCATCTCTCACACAGGACCTGACCGACGAGCAACAGCAGCTGGCCACCAGAGTCCAGTTCAATTTCTACCAGGAGAGCACAGTGTACCAGGTCCATACAGGCAACAAATGTCCCATTCCAAGCAAGATATGCAGAGAGAGACAGACCTCTGAGACACTTGTATTTTGATTACAATACAGAAATGTGTTACATGTATTGTCTGTGTGTTTTGAATTTTAAATCCCTGAAAGAAGCTGCTGGACCACATTTTAAATCACATATTATTATCATAACATTTTCTTCACAAACTGACAACTTGTGTTTTTGTGTCTCTAAATGCAGGACAGATCTTTGGGAAACCGCAAACTCAATAGTGGGATCCTTGGAGCAAGTGTGGCCAACCTGTCAATCAGAGAACTGCAGGACGATGTTGTAATTATCCTGAGGAACTCAGAGCCCGTTCCAGTAAGTCCATTTGAAAAAAAAAAAAACAACTTGAAATTTGACCCTCTTGCTCATATATCTGCAACTCAGAGGATTGTGTTTCAGAATAACCAGAAAAGCATGCTGGCTCGCATACTGCAAAATGTGACTAGATGGCTTACTGCATTTGACATACTGTGTATTGGGACATACTAAATCAGTTTTTCCGGTATACTGTACTAAATAGTGTGGTAGTATGAGTATTGGAATGCACACAGCTAATCTATAGCCATATCAAATATTAACACACAACTTCAAAACTGTTGTCAAACATCCTTCCTCCGAAAAATGGGGAAAAGTAAATATTATTTTTTAAAAAGAAGTCATGATGTACATTAGAGATTGTAAACTGATATAAGCTCTTGTGCCTTTTCCCTAAACTACAGGCTAATTTTGTGGCTACATGTGTTTTCTGGGACTTTACATTAAATGGTAAGTTTTCCAACTTTATCAGAATTAAGTGAATGTAAACAAAGAAGAAAATATGGTTCATCTGTGTTTTCTTCCGGCAGACGAATCAGGTGGTTGGAATCAAAAAGGCTGTTCTGTCCGAAACAGCACAGACAATGAGACAGTTTGTGGCTGCAACCATTTAACCAGTTTTGCCATACTGCTGGTGAGAAGATTATATTCTGTTAATGGTTTTTTTTTTGTTTGGTGAACATTTTCCCACTTTGCTCTAACTTCTCTTTATTTATTCTTTTTCTTACAGGACCTCTCCAGAGAGCCTGTACTCAGTCGTGTACAGGCCACCATCCTTACCTTCATCACATATATTGGCTGTGGAATCTCTGCCATCTTCCTGTCCATCACCCTCCTCACCTACTTGTCCTTTGGGTGACTATTGAGAGTCATGAGTTGTTGAACATTTTGCCTGAGCGACCGTAAATAGATAAGAGTCGCGGTAACATTGTCAAATGTAAAAGCTAATATGTTGATTACTGTATCTTGAACGCCAAACAAACTACAAAATGTATGAAAGGAGTCCACAAATGGATCTGACTTGCAAGGCAACGTTAAGAAAACTAGAAAGAGCCACTGCGCTTTTTACAGTAAACACATTGTTTATTGAGAAAAAGTCCACTGAGATGCTTTGTGTTGTCTAAACCATTTCAACACTGCAGGAAGTTGCGGAAGGACATTCCATCCAAAATCTTAATCCAGCTGTGCGTGGCTCTGCTGCTGCTGAACCTGGTCTTCCTGGTGGATGCATGGCTGGCGCTCTACCCAGACGCTGTGGGCCTCTGCGTCTCCACCGCCTGGTTCCTTCACTACTTCCTGCTGGTTACCTTCACCTGGATGGGACTTGAGGCTTTCCACATGTACCTGGCCCTTGTGAAAGTCTTCAATACCCACATATCACGCTACATGCTGAAGCTCTCGCTGATCAGCTGGGGAGTCCCGATGATCGTGGTCATCATTGTCATTGCGATTGACAAGGACAACTACGGTCTTGTCTCCTATGGAAGGTTTTCCGACGGCACTAGTGACGACTTGTGAGTCTTCTGTCAGACGCCGTTACAGTTACATGCACATGATTCTACACAAACTAAAAACACAAATACCAAGACACATGAAACCAAAAAAATAACCCTTCAATTCTCTTCCATCCATTTCTTCTCCCACAGCTGCTGGCTGAAAAATGACATTGCTTTCTTTGTAGCAGTGGTGGCCTATTTCTGCATCATTTTCCTTTTCAACCTTGTCATGTTCGTTGTGGTGTTGGTGCAACTGTACCGGATAAAGAGGCAGAACCCTCACAATGTGCAGCACCGCACCACGCTGCAGGATGTGCGCAGTGTGGCGGGGATAATAATCCTCCTGGGCCTCACTTGGGGCTTTGCCTTTTTCGCCTGGGGGCCCCTTAACCTGCCCTTCATGTACCTGTTTGCCATCTTTAACTCCTTTCAAGGTGAGTTGAGTTATTCTATTGTCTTGTAGCACTCACCTTTCACACAGAATGTGAAGAAAAAGGAGAGAGAAATGTAAGTTGGTTCAAATTACCCAATTACAAACACTCTTAAGGTAAATCATATAACTTATGTGGTATTTAGCAGCATAGAAAGCACCAAAAAATGCAACACTTTGATCATTTCAATAATTGGACATCTCACAGACCCCTAAAGAAGAAATGTAAAACTGCAAGTCCTTCAAGTCAAAACTATAAAATGATTTAAAACAACAAACTGTCCGTGCAGTCTGCGTGTAATATACATAAACATTCTGTTTGTCTTGTAGGTTTCTTCATATTTGTGTTTTACTGCGCGGTAAAGGAAAATGTGAGGAAGCAGTGGAGGACCTACCTGTGCTGTGGCAGAATGAGACTAGCAGAGAACTCAGGTTAGAGTTGTTCACGTTACGTTTCACAACTCTACTTGTCTGGCTGGAAACCTTTACATGTTTCACACGCATGTAATCCTCTATGCATTTACTAATTCCTTTGAATATGGACATCTGTTCCTTCCGAGTAACATATTTAAGTGCATCAGATGCATGATGATGGTAATTATTTACATGTCAGTGATTATGTTACGTTTCACCTTTTTTAATCTGAATTTCTTTTCCCAGAATGGAGCCGCACTGCAACACAGAAGACTGCGAAGAAGTCATCCGTGACCAGAATTACATCTCTTCATTCCTCCCAGTCCAACAACTCATCCAGCTCGTCGTCTTTCCTCGCCAGTGACTCCTCAGAGCTGATTAATGGCATTGGTAAGTGAAGTCTGCAAAATGTGTGTCGTCGTGTGGCGAGGAGCACGCCACCTTCGTTTTAATTCCCCTACACTCCTGTTATACGGGTGTGCATTATATTATATTATTTACAGGAATGAAAAGAATAGAAATAATGCTATAGCGCTGTGTTGCAGGAAGCCCATTTGAAGACCGAACAATCACAGCAGATGAAGACCCCAGAGGGGATGTGGTCCTCAACGAGATCAACAGCCAGTACAGAAACCAACAAGCACCCTGATGCAGAAAGGACAGAACGGTCTGTTTAATGGGAGGACAATGGAGTAGAAGGGCTGCTGTTTTATTTGTGGTAATCACATACAGGTGCTCTTTGGATCCTTCAGGTGTACAGTGCTTAATTAATCTTGTGAAGGGCTCATTGCACAAGTGGAATTCTTTTATGTTCTCAAAAAAGAATAAATTGCAAGTCTACTTCACAGAAATAATCCAAGGCACACTGTAGGGATGTAATTGTTTTTGGAGACTTGCAATTCATACTTTTTTTGAGACAAAAACTATTTCCCCCGATGCAATGGGCCTGTTTAATGGCTCTTATTTTGAAATACTTGTATATAATGTTAATGTAGAGTAATTTATGTCCATCGGCATGTCACATGTATTGTATGACTTGTAACATTATACATGGCACTTGATTTTTGCAGTTTCCTATATTCATTCATAATTGTATTTGCACAAGGAACCTGAACAACCTTCTTTTCTTTGTACAGTGATGTTATCAATATAAGGAATCATATTCCAACGGTTTACACAGATATTTACCCATGGTCAACAGGCGTGTACTGGTTCTGACTGATAAATTACTTTTTTTGTAATTGTCAAATAAAAACAAGTATTTTTACATTTAGCACAATTTATTAGAGCAAAAGTCTAGCGATCAGTGTTTTTCCAGACAAATGTTAGTTATTGTCAGCTGAGGTTGGCAGTGATTAAGAAGTTAGTTTTGGTATTGTTGGAAAAGTGAAGACTTTCATACTAGCTGAACATTAAGGGGAATTATTAGCACAGCAACTACGTATTCAGTAGACTGTGAATGCTTCTACGAAATGCAATATTCAACATCATTTATGCATACAAAGGTTCACGCCTTTACAACTTCAGATAATGTGTCAAAAGGGGAGTATGGTATTTCAGACACAGGCTGTTTCTGCGGACCTTCAGTTCTGGAGTCAAGGTCTCTGTGTCTCTATCTTACCAACAAAGAAACAGTGTCTCCACTTCTCACCCTTGTGGGAAAAGACAACAAGACACCTTGATACAAAACTAATTAAAATCATCTGCAAAACTGCTGTTCTGTGTCTGCCTGTGTTCCTCACTTTCAGTTGTACATTCTCTAAACTTTCACTATACTATAACATAATTTCCCACTACATGTTACATGCCTTTTTCCACAGCAGACAGTTTGACTTGTCATAGTAGAGGTGTTACTTGTAACATTAACTATCTCTGCTCTCCCACTAAGACAGTGTGACATGATGCACAAGTCAACAATTATTTATTTCATTTCAAATTATACTATTGTGGAATTAGATTTTAAATTTTGAGTTTACATTATCATTTTATTAAATGGTAATATAATAAATAATAATGACATGGGTTCTTAAATATTCTGACTGTATTTTAGAGAAAAAGATGAGTCAAGACACGTTCCCCGAAAAACACTTTTAATTGTAGAGGTCACAGAAAGTATCTCAAGTGGGACAGAACAGCTTTTGGTGAAATTATATTGAATAAATAAATGTAACCGAGTCTCACAGGGTTGATCACGTGTAAACGTGATGTGTACTGTATATGCAAGCTACATTCACCATCCTTTTCATGCACCATATTCAGCCTTAAATAACTCAAAGGTGCTAATAAAACATGACGTAAAAACAGCACAAGCACAGACGTGGCATTAAAGTGGTGGAATCGTTTCCCTTTTAAAACATATTTGGACTCAAACACAGTCTTAAATCGATGTGATCACATTGCGTTGATACAATCTGAAAAACCAAATCACATTTGAGAGTTCAGTAACAAAAACAGAGCTTAAAAGCGACTCAGTTCAGCTGTGCTGAGACCTAAACATTGGTCTATCACACGACCTGAGCTCACAACCTTAAAAAACCTAAGGAAAAAGGAGAGAGCACACACCTGCTGCAAGATGAGCTACACCACATTATCAGTGTATCAAATCACTGTTCAAACATCTAACAGCTTCTTCAGAGTACATGCAAATGTATTCCAAACCAAGATAAACAAACAAAACACAACTGAAAAGTTGTAGCCAGCACACAACAGTAAAACACAACTAAAACAGGAAGTCAGGGTGGAACGGGGTTAAAAGAGGTGTGTGTGTGTGTGTGTGGGGCGCTATTGTACCCTTTGAGATGTGGTCAGACTGAATGCAAAGTTAATTTTCATCTTGATTTATTCACACTAACTTGTCTGCTGGAGAATCCATGCTTGTTAATCAAAAACAGCCAATTGCAAAGCCAAACTTTATGTTGCCTCTAATTCAGTCTGAACACACGTCTGAGGCTACAGCAGACATAAGACGAGCGTTCACATTCCAGTTGTTGGGGATTCAAGCAGAGAACTGTTGAGGTCTTCACTTCTTCCACACGGAGTAGAAAACCCATCTGACACAAGAGAATTAAGGATCGTACACAGCAAAATATGACGGGGTGCAAAAAACGTTCAGTACGACATTAGCATATCCAAACGGTAGAAGCACTGAAAGGATACTGCTCCATGTAGGAGGGCACACACACCACCTCTTTGGAGAAGCCCACGGGACACGAGAGCTTCCCGAGCTGTTCCTCGTACAGACGCAGGGACTCCGTCATGTTCTCGGCGTTACCCTGGTGACAAACAAAGATTACGTCACGTGACACACAAACTGGG